TCCCCCCCCCCCCCCCCCCCCCCCCCCCCCCCCCCCCGCGCCTCGCTTCCCCCTTTCGATTCATACAACTAACAACAAATATCTGCTAGCAGAACTATTGGTGGTTTCCTCTTTTAGTGCTTACTTACAGGCAAGCTGATAGTCTGGGTTCCTAACCTTCATGTTTTGGACAAAAAAAAACCATATTTCCCCATTTTTTGGAGCGAAAGAAGCCACTTTTTGCAAACTGCTATGGACGGGGAAGACGAACCACTCTTCTTCACATTTGGAAGCAGCGTGCTACCCACTACACCCATCGTATGCCAGCCGCATATATTTTGCTCTTCATTGCTATCCTGTGCAGCAAACCACCAATTTTTGCCGGCTTTTCGTAGGTCGTGAGTCTTCCACGACAATTCCTCAACCTCGCTTAATTCTCTCACCACTGTACTTGTTATTTTTGTTTTGTTTTTGTTATTTTTCATTTTTTGTCATCTTTTCTTCTCTTTTTCAATTCTTTCAAAATTTATTATCAAAACGAATGAACGAGTCATACAGAGATATATGTCTCACTGGCGATGTCGGAATGGTAGAACAGAGGGATTGGACTTAAGTGTCATGAGTAAGAAGAAATTTTACGATGCAGTCTATGTTTCATCCCTTAACTGTAACCCTTAACTCTCAGCACGAAAGCAGCGCTACTTGCCAATGTGTCATGCTCATGTATTTTTAAAAAAAGCAGATAAAAGACTGAAAAAAAAAACTTTCAAAAAACCACTAATGGTATACTTTGGTAATTGTAAATCGTCGATGGATGATTTATGGAATCCAATATCCATGCCCGTTGGCTGCAGCAAGTGGAAGGGTGATTTTGGATCTGTTCGTGCAGCCATACCATTACCATAGTTATCGGCGAATATCAATTGCACGTTTGTTAATTTTACATTAAATTTATCATATGCACGAATTAGCAGCTGCTGACGGCGTTCTGCATCCTAAAAAAAAATTTGCAAAACACCTCAACAGTTCAACATTTCAAAAATTTCTTTATATGCTTCATTTAAATAATTTTTCCGCGCAAGCTGTATCACCTTTCAGCAGCGAATACGAATTTACGGGTTACGATGACCCGCTTCATCAAGAGTGCCAAATTTTGAAGGTTCCGTGTTTTGGGCAACGATTTTCAAAGATGATAAATTCGAACCTTACTTCGAGGACCAGCTTTACTTTAAGTACGAATTTTCGAACAGTACCGAGTTTGAAATTAGTTTCGATCGTCAATGCTCTGCTGTCCCACGGAAAAAAAGAAGACAAGGGACCGAATTTATTACAGAGGACAAGGGCAAAGTACTGACTTAATGGACCGCAACACTCCTTTCAAATTTCATAATTTTCATTTCCCACATTCCTTTTCCTTTCTTCCTCTTTTTTCCATTATTCCCTATTATAACTTCCTATTGTTAGGCAAAAATTTTGCTCAGGGCATCAGGCTAACCAAATTTTGCTCAACATCTCCGAGTTTGTTTGCACAGCCGCGTTTAAGGCCCCAAATGTGGATTTATCTCAGTATCCACGGGACTAACATGAAGTTAGACCAGTTACATGGTGTAAGCGATAAGACAGATAATTAAACGGCGCTCAGGACGAAGCGAATAATTAATTGGTACCCAAAACATGTCAAAAAGAACAGTTGGAAGGCCATCGATGCGATAGGCAACCAGCTAATTCAAATGTATGATATGCTGTGAATGTACGGAGTCCAAGAACAAAATCAGTAGCACGTACGTATCCGCTCAATCCACCCAATCAATCCCTCTCCCTTTGCCTCCAATCTCAGCGCCTGGCATCCGCACACAACATCTTTCAGCTATAGCATTGCAGAGCATGCCACATATGAATCACTGGTGAACTATTATTCGTTTCAAGTACCATCAAGCAAGTATTCCCTTGCCCTGTATCTAAGCTGTACATGCTCCTTAGTTACTTGTGGGCAAATGCATGTTTTATAAACAACAAAGGCAAATTTGTACAACTGCATCACCTATTAGTATATTTGCGCAGCGTGATCAGTTTGTTGAAGCAACCGAAAAGGTTCGAGCAGAAGTAAATCAATCCAAAGGCGCGACAAAAGTAAGACTAGCAATATTTGGAGGAGTGCGAGCATTCACACTGAGCAAAGTACTTTCAGAAAATGAACATAAACGTACGCGACGGTTAGAAATTTCATAAAATATAAAAAACATGAAATGTACCTCATTACCGGTATAAGATGCTTCGGCAAATGAACTATCATCAACGGTTGTTAGCGTAAGTAAGCCAAGATCGGCAATCAGATTGCGCTTCCCCTCATCGAAGATACCACCTTCGGAGATAACAATTGTCAGTGGTGATATTCGAATATCCAGCATAAGTTTCGTCTTCGTATCGACCGCATGCGCCAATCCCGTAAGCGAACGTGCTTTCACATCCTCATAACGTGCCATTGCTGCTGCCGTTAGCCTGTTGTAATGAGCTCATCATTCGCTTACAGTACTTTTTTATGCGTTTTTCCATATTTTATGCAGATGCAAGAATGTACGCTGGCAAAAGGCTGTCTGTGTACGTATCTGTCTGTTCACACTTTTTGTCACCCACTTTCAATTCGAAAACCAGACAAGCTAGGAAGCTAAAACTTTGCGAGCAAGTGTCCACTCATGTGGTGATTCTCCCGTTTTAATATTATCAATCACTTATGCTTAGGTCTCACGTACGCGCGCTTAGTTATGCAAATTTTTTGACGTGAAAGCGACTCCGGGAACTAGACAAGACAGAAAGTCAAAATTTCACTGAGATATTCTATATCCTTGTGCGAGCTAAAGATTTAAAATTCAGCTTTGAAGCATGCACATATATCGTGTACATACACGTTAAAGTAGTAATTTTGCAGTCGTTGGCAAAATGTCAATTCAGGAACAAAATTGGTTAAAATGTTCTCCCACACTGACTTCCCGGACGGTCCTGGTGTTCGCTCATAACCAATGATGCGCGAAAAAAGTGAAGGGATGCCATACTTTAGCATAAGCGGTTTGTAGGCGTAAAAAACCTCAATATCGGAAACTTAAAACTTACTGTTTCAGACGTACGCTTTCGGGTGGTCGTAATGCTTCGATCGCCGTATTGATTGCTGGAGCATGGTATTTCATAAATGTTGGTGCCACAGCCAGCTTAACGTACTGATCATAGCCGGCTTTATCGCGATCCAGCGGATTTGTATCCACAAGTACTGTCAACCAATCAGTGGATTCATCTTGCATGAATAAGACTGGCTGACCACAGCCGTCCATTGTCACTTTTTTAATACCACTTTTCAAACTGTAAAAAAAAACTGCGTCAAGCGGTCCAATTCAGCATAACATATATGTTTTTGGTTAAAAAAACGCAGAAAATGTCGCCAATCCAATGGGAAAATCCGCTTGAACGACTCTGTGGAATTATGTGGGTGTGAAACGCCCAAAGAAGAATTGAGAAGTTGCCAGATGTGGAAAAAGAAATTCACAATATAAATTAAAAGCTATCGCCGATATTCCAGATATTCATCAGGTTATCTAATCAACATAACACTGTGCCTCTCTTAGCCCATAAATGAATCAGAAACCGTGTGAAGAAGGATTCTTTTTTGTCTAGGCCTGTCCCAAAGTCGTGTTTCGTCCACTGGAGTGGAAAGGCGTTTCAATATCAACAGTAAGCAGCTGAACAACATAATTTCCTCGTCCTCCAGTACAACCGAGTACTCAAAGTGTATAATGTCGAAATTAGAAAAAAAGCTTGATTTACTTGACAGCTTGGGCAGCTGGTCGCTGTTGTATTTTAGTGGTAATTGTGGTGAATTTAAGTGTGATAGCATCCTCGATCACAATCATCAACACGTTCAGATCAGCCACTATGACATTTTCCACAAAGTGTTTCGGATAATCGGTCGGTGGAGTATTCTCCTGTAAATTAAAATAATCGGTAACGATGACAAAGTTTTTAAAAGAGCTCAATTACAGTGGAAACAAGTATAAAACCCCAATTATTTTGAAGAGTTTAAAATTGCTCCAAAAAAAATGCCCTGAGAAAATTGCTCCGAAAGAACGTTCCCCCTACCCCTTCCGGCGAAAAAAAAAATTTTTAAAAATAGTTGCAGGACACTAATACGTATTGAATCTCCGCGCATCACCCCACCAGTAAATTTAAAAAAAAAAAAAAAATGTGATAAGCAGCTGAAATAACGATAGCGATAAACATGATAAAAATCATAATTGCTACCTGATAATCAATTGCTTCGAACAATTTAGCCTTCTCTTCCGGTGTCATAGCTTGCTCAAATTTGCTTACAATATCACCTGGCGTTGATAATTTATCACCTCCTTCGGCTTTCTTCTGTTCACCTTCGTCACCGCTCCACCTGAAATGTCCATATCTCAGGAAAAAAAAGACCGAAAACGCATCTATCGTCTTACCAACCTCTCTTTCGTCATGACACTCGAATCAAAAATGTCAAGACCACTCAGACAATCGATGTGAGAATCCCACATCAGTGCTGAGTGCTCTTGTATGCCTCTATCTGATTCTGAGATGCATACCTCCTGTGAGTGGCCCACACTAGGTGACGGCTGGACCCCTGAACCATATTGCAGAAAAATATTTTAGTCGAAAAAATAATACAAAGAAAAAATTCGCTAAATACTGAACATATAAGTGCGCTCAGTGCGCCCATTTACTTGGTATGTTTGATCACGGGAAAGCTAACCACAGGCGGATCCAGGGCGCCTTCCTGAGAGGACGGGGACGAAAACGCTGCTCCCGGAGAGCGGGGGAGGGGGCAACACGGGGTATCGAAGAGTGTTTTCTACAGTAAAATAACTGCTACCTGTGTCGCTGAAAGTGGACTCTCGGTTTCACTGGCGGATCCAGAGGAAGGGGACGAAACATTCCCCCCAACCCTATGGATCCGCCAATGAAGCCGACAGCGAAATGTTTCCTCTTTTTATCCATAACACTTGCATGTTCCCTCTTTCTTCCATAAAAGTCGCGTGAAAAACTGGCTTTATACTCGACTGGAACGTACCAGCTTTTAGCCCAACCAATCCAGCCCTGCGGTTGGTCTTCCACTCTTTTCAGGCCGCGTCTGTCTATTTCCATATCAGCTTCCTGTCGCGCAATATTCAAATTGAAAACATCAAGCAGCAGTTCGGCTTCCTGAAAAGTAATGTGACCAATAACTGTCGATTCGATCTGATGCAAACTACTAGTACTGGAGCATGACCGGGGAGTCAAAAACATTATCAGCAGTTGGCTTTCAAGCAACAGCTGATAAAATATAAAACTTCAAACTTGCTTCGAATCATTAAAAAAAAACTTACAATTTCAACATACCTCTATAATGTTTTGGTCTTCACTACTTAAGTTCTTTTCAGTTTGCTTCTTTAACCATGCTGCTTTGTAGGATTTCACTAATTTTCGGTGCTTTTTCATCCGCTCCCAATTCCAATTATTGCGTCGCCTTCGAACATTCTCCTCCAGAATTGCTTTGTACGCAAAATGCCACCTGAAAAGAGTATCTCCGCCGAACAAAACCAATGAAACCTAAGATCAAACAGGAGTTTTCCTCCAATTTCATTTTCACATTTTCCTGTATTTTCCTTCCTATCTGAATGGGTAGTGTGCTCCCTACACAATAAACAAAATTTGCGTAAGCTGACTGTAGCAACCAGATTGACCCTGGAAGCATAAGTGAAGATGCGGTAGAATACAGAAAGAGCGGTTTAAGAAAAGAAGGTAACAATGAGATAAGGCGTTTCGGTGCATTAGGTCATAAACCTCTTAACTCAACACCGTAACAGGACCTCATCAGTATGACCATCGCAGCGCTTAATGGAAAAGGAAAGGAAAAAAGAAAGACGTAAGGAAAAAAAGGGAATGCTATGACTGTGGGATACAGGTAGCAAGAAGGGGGTGAAGAGGGAAAGGAAAAGGAAGAAGGACAGAAGAATCCAAAAAAAGAGAAAGTTCTTAATTTTTTAAAAAAAGTTATTTTTAGAAAGGCAAAATTTCCCCAAATAACTGAACTTGAACACTTACCACTCTTTATAATGGCCACGATATTCATTCAGGTTGGGACGGTATTTGAGGTACTGGGCCGCTGTACGAAATCTTTCCTGTGCTTCCAGGAGTAGTAGCAAATCCTGGTACTGATATTTACCAACAGCCAATGCAAGTATATCGAGACCAAGTTGGAGACTGATTTTTGGAATTGTCCAATTCGAACCATCTGTTTCGGGCTTTTGATTGAGTGCAAGCTTTGCCTGCATATTAATTGGCTCCAGCACTGCAAATGCAACGAAAAATGAACCATTTTCAGTGATGTGGGAAAATGTCAACTGCAAAAAGATACTTTTATTTATTACTTTGTCTGTCACTATCCCAGATGGATAAACATGTTATTCAGTACAGTACCGAGCCCTGTGCTTCACGTACTGTAGTTGGAGCATTTACATCTGTATTTATGCCAATCGCATTCATATGGCTTTGTACTTCTGCCAATAAATGCAGCATTTTATTAATTTTTACCGAATTTTTGGGGGATACGTACAGGACTGTGTAGTGCCATATAGCCGACAAAGCACCAAAAAAATTTCACGTGGTCTAAGAGTGGTGATGTTTCGGACGAAGTGTTGATACTCAAAATAACCAGCACCTCAAAACAATTAAAAATTGGCCAAATGCTTGTGTCGAACGAAATATAAAAATATAAAAACTGGTAATTCCTTTAACAGACAAAACGAACGTCAGGATCGCCAGAAGGCTGACCACCACCAAACAATACAGCGCTGGTCAAAGCAACCGGAAAAGTTGTTAACTGCATAGCTAAAGAAGCAGATACCGAATTAACAAGGGTCTTAACAGCACGCCGATCGCAATGTAAAATAAAGATGTTGAATTCAAGACGTTTTACCGCTTTTCAAATTAGCTACTCTACTTCTATGGATAAAACATAGCGCGGTGCTTACTGTATTTGTAGCCCGATGGTTTCTTGTTTCCAACAACAATAGAATCATTCATTTCTTGCAGAATCTTCGCGTGATCAGTCAAATCTGAGAAAAGCGTCGAATCTGAATTCCAATACAGCGCAAGATTATTCAATGAGACCAATTTATAGACCACTTTCACCACTTCCTTGTGTATTGTTTCGTTCCAATTCTCATCTGTGGTCTGCAATTTCAGCTTCTCAGTTCATTCAAAAGCAAGCAATGTTTACGAAAGCTGTAAAAAATGTTTTTCCCAATATTAAAACCAGCTTAATAATGCGATGATTGGCACAGAACTCCAGTAATTGTTATCCTGGAGTGAAGAAGGTAATTGAAATCCAGGATGGCCTTATTTTTCAAACTTTCCTCTGTGCCTAACTATGAAGCAGGTAACATAACTTCAAGGAAGGACAAACTGATTTCTAGCGAAATTCTACCAAAATGAATGAATTTATGACCAACGCCCTCACCTAAGAAATTAACCTAGATTTTCTTAAGATGCAGATATGAAACGAACTAAAAGTTGGCTTGTTTAGGAAAAGATATGTTTTCTTTTTTTGGAAATTCAGCACAGAAGTTGAGATTACCTTGAAATTGATGCCTTCAAGTGTTGCACCAACCACAAATGGACGGCTACGATTGGAGTATTTGTCTTCATAACGAATGTGTATATTTCGGATAGTCACTTGTAAATTTTTTATAACCGTGGCAGCAAATTTCTCCACGAAACTATCCGCCGCGAGATCCGGTGGCTCTACAAAACCAAAATTAACGAAATTTTTAAAAAACAAATTAACGGAAATTTTAAAAAATAAATTAAAAATTTTAT